TTCTAACACCCAAGTCCCATTAGCAAACAAGGCCTGAATGGATTAAAAACAAAAAGAAAACACCTATTAATTGACAGTTAAAGGAAACCAGTCGACGGAAGAGGGGAAAAAAGAGAGGGAGAATGACGGATCGCACTAGGGGTGGTCATTCGACTCAGTAAAATCGATCCGAATCGAAACGATATAATGTTATTCGGTTCAGAATTCGGAAGGGAAAATGTCTATTTCGGAAATCAGTGTCCTTTCGACCGAACAATTATAATTGCAAGTTTCAAATAGTGGGTTTTGATTTTTTTTACTTGTCTTGAGACTTGAATATTTGAATAATGTCAGTGTTTCATAACTTACGTGTTGAAATGTTTGATTTTATCATTGATGATGTATATAATTTCATATCATTGTTGTCAGAAACATATTATTTAGGGGTTTATTTGTCGTTTATTATTATTATTCAGAACTATTGGGGTTTATTTGGTTAGGTTAACTATTCGGGTAGTTAGAGGGAATTCGTCAGATAATATATATATTGTGTTAGGAGAAGGTTAGAGGCAAGTAATAACACAACTATTATTCCCTAAGCCTAATTCTCTCTCAACCCTAGCCGAGCTCTCTCTCTCTCTCTCACCTAGCCGTCGGCCACCTCCAACCCGGAGACCGGCTTCTGCTTCTTCCTCACCTAAATCCCTATTCTTCCTCACCCAAATCCCCAATTCGCATACCAATCCTAAACCCTAAATCGCACATCTAGATCCGTGTTCTTTCAGTGGTATCAGAGCCTGGATGGTGTGTCGATTTCTTGAATAGTTCCTGAACAGTGAAGATGACGAATCTGGCGGACAAGCCGCAGCAGCCGAAACCGACCAAGGAAGTCATCACTGTGAAGGATGTAACAACGAATAAGTATGACGTGATCGTCATGACGCTGGAGAACCTCACGGAGTCGACTGAAAGGCCAGCCGCAACCTCACGAGGCTCGATCGGCGCCATTGAAGCACTAGGCGGACAAATTGCGAGTTCGATTGAGGAGATGAGCAAGACAGTGACGGATAACCTGTGCCGAGCCCTCGCAGAAACTATGAGAGAGGTTCTGATTGGCGTCCTGAAGAATCGCGAGTCAACACCAGGGAGCCGACCAACCGCGGCGAAGGTGGCGACTGAGGCGGAGCTGAGCGCGAAAGGCGGCGGAGGACAGGGCAGGGAGGGTCAGGGCGAGTGACTCACTCCTACTGTCACCCTAGAAAATGGCCAAGTGTAACCACTTCCTAAAGCATAGTATAGCGGGTTTGGGTTTTAATGTCAACCCGGGTCCTAGATTTGATGACTATTCGGTGAATTCTTGTTATCTAGCAGTGAAACTTTAATGCAAGTCCAAATTAACAAACAAACAAAGCAAGTTAAACGGTTGTTTTCAAGTCAAGAGAGGTCACCCGGATATGGTTTCCCCTAGACTGCAGTTAAGCCGGATTGCAATTTACCAAGTTCAGTTTTCATGAAAATTATACTGCGGAAGGTTCTTAAACAGTCTGAAGTCTCGACTAAAGGTCTCCAGACCCTCTCAATCTGAGTCTCTAGCGAGCGACTAACCTCCACCGGAGTAAACAGATTGAGGCTCTAACGAACCAAACCTCCACTACCGAATTGAATTTGGTACAGAAAAATGAATTGGCTCCTCGACTAAAGTCACCAATTCACTACCTTCAACTAAGGGTGCTCTATCAACCTAGGCAGATATTCTCATTCTAGGTTAAAGCAGAAACAACAGGAATTTGATCAGGATTCAAGTCATTCAATCATTCAAACCTCAATCGAATATAATCAATTCATAAACTCTGTACTTGGGTTCATACAATCAGACCTAACATACAAATCTAGGGTTCCCCATACCCAGATGAATGGGGAAACTACTCCATGGAGAGAGAAGCAAAAGCAGATTCAGATGCGGAAATCATACTGTGAAGGATGGATTTCTGCTCCTGGACGTTGATCGACACTCCTCCAAGCTCAAGCCAAGCTCCAATGGTGATGAAGATCAAGCTAGGGCACTTGGGAACTCTTGTTCGTCACTTTCTCTCTCTAGGAATTGCTCTGTCTCTCTAAAACTCGGAACCCCCGATTTTCAGCCTTCTTTTCCCTTAAATCTGCTGCCTGTCGCAATACCCGGTCGAAATACCCGGTCGGGTATTTCGGGTCTCGACCGGGTATTATTAAAACGCGCGTTTTGGGCAAGGGAAAAAATCCCCGGTCATGTCCAATAATTCCCGACCAGGGATTTTAGCTCCACGACCGGGCCCCTCTCTGTTTCTCAGACGCCCAAAACCAAAAGTCCCCGGTCTCCTCAAAATAATACCCGACCGGGTATTCTTTGTCATGGCCGGGTATTTTCTTCCTCCAGCACACTTCAAGCCTCACTTGCTCCTTTCGACCCGAATCTCGTTCCTTCGCCTCGATTCCAACGCCGGGTCCTGAAATGTGACATAAACGCACAACCTAGCGTGAAATCGGCTTAAAATACGAGAATCAATATCTCAAACGGCTCAAGAATAGGGGTGAAAACATGTGTAATTATCGGTTTATCAGCGAGCCGGTGTTTAGTGGGCCAGGCCTGCTGCCCGCTCCAACGGCCTAGGAGAGCTATGCGGCCTGCGGGAAGCAGAAGATGGTCGAGTTCGATGGGCTGGGCTTCGATGGCGAAGAGGATGAGCTGAACTTCGCGGATCAGGAAGGCTGGTGGGCGGACCCAGGGCCCGATGGAGCCAGGCAGGTTTGGGTGGCCAATCCGAAGCTGGGCCAAGGGGAGCCACCGGCCGGGTCGCTGACCGGTCGGACTAGTGCCGGTCGAACCGGAATCGGTCGAACCGAATCCGGCCGTACCAGACCAAACCCGGTTGAACCAGGGAGGGCCCCACAGGGCAGCAACTGGGGCGAAACGGCGGGAAATGACCGCCAAGGACCTAAGATGGGATTTTCCCTCTGGGGAACCCCGCAAGCTGATCAAGGGCGCAACGAGAACATAATAGAAGTGGGGCAAGGCTCCGGGACCAAGCCTAGACGCGAGGAAGACTACCAGCGTGAGATGGCCGACTGAGCCTATTCTCGCCGACAGAACGCGGAGGCGGACTACCGTCACTACGCGTTAGGCCGACCGCAACCGTCGGATGGGGGCAGGTATGGGTACAATAACCCTCTCTATGACTATGATCAGGAGCTGGTGTTCAGAGCTAAGCCTCCGGTTATTGAGTTTCCGAAATACGATGGTACTGGCAATGTGGGACTGTGGTTGTATGCGGCAGAGAGGTGGTTCAAGAACCACCTGATCAGGGAAGAACGGAAGGCGCATCTGGCGTCCTTCTACTTGGAGGGAGATGCCCTCCAATGGTGGGAATGGACTGAGAGGGCCTACGTGGCAGCGGGAGAGAATATCTCCTGGCCCAGGTTTCAGGAGGAGCTCCGATACCAGTTCGGAAGAGCGGAGGGATGGGCACCAGAGCAGCTGGCCAATTGCGATGAGAGGTATACCATGGGACACCAGTGCGCCAAAGGGAACCTGATGTTGCTAATTGGGAACTAGGAAGACGAAGGGGAGGAAATGGAGGCAAATGAGGGTGAGGGCCAAAAGGAAGAGAAGAAAGAAGGCCCGCCTTGAGGGCAAGGTGGGTTTCCATTATTTAGGGGTTTATTTGTCGTTTATTATTATTCGGAACTATTGGGGTTTATTTGGTTAGGTTAACTATTCGGGTAGGTAGAGGGAATTCGTCGGATAATATATATATATAGTGTTAGGAGAAGGTTAGAGGCAAGTAATAACACAACTATTATTCCCTAAGCCTAATTCTCTCTCAACCCCAGCCGAGCTCTCTCTCTCTCTCACCTAGCCGTCGGCCACCTCCAACCCGGAGACCGACTTCTGCTTCTTCCTCACCTAAATCTCTAGTCTTCCTCACCCAAATCCCCAATTCGCATACCAATCCTAAACCCTAAATCGCACATCTAGATCCGTGTTCTTTCATTCGCAGTAGGCATGGATAATAATTTAAAAGGAAGAAGGCAGAGGCTAGCCTTACAAATTCAATTTTGTCTGAAATTTTGAGCAGAATTGAATTGTAATTCGATTTCCATTGTTGATGATGTTAGGGACATGATATGCTCTTGTTCGATTCGGTTTGAACCGACACCCACCCCTAACTCGCACACTACTCGATCATGATGACTCGAAAACTTTTAAAATTATATATTTGTGTGTTTGGCTGTTTGCTTGGTCGCGCTGCGTGTGTGTGATCTTGGGCATATCGCCAAAAGAATTTTTCGAAGGGAAGATGGCATTTCCATAGGGAGTTGAGAGATAGTGAGAGAAAAGAGACCCCTAGTGTAGTGTGCATTTTTGTAGTGTGTTTGAGATATATGATGCCAAAAACTATGGAAATGAAAATTTATTATATTGATAAATGTCATAGAAATTGTGGTGGCACTGGCAGGGTGAGAAGATGGACTCTGCAAGTTCGAATTATTCTCCTTCCCTGGACGCTTGCCTTCTTCTTTCTTTTATCCTCACCTCAGCTATATAAGCTATTTACACATTGCTCCATTTTTTGGACTTATTTGTTCTTGGCATTGCACCCTTTTTCTTATATAATAAATTTTCCCCCACTCTAGCTCAATGCCTGAAGAAGTTATGCACACCACACTACTACGGATATGGCTTTGGTAAATGTTGTTAGTAAGCCTCTTTGTCGTCTATTAAAATGGGTCTACTATCCAACCTATAATGGCTAATGGGAGACTCACTCTGCTGCTAAAAATGCTCCCCCGAGGCTGCTCTGTAGCAAGCAGCCACCATCGCCTCCCCAGCCGCTAGCAGAAACCGAAGAAAAAGAAAGCGACCATTTTTCCCCCATTGAACATAAACAAAAAAAAACGTAAACAGAGAGAGAGGGAAAGAAGAAAGGCAATTTCTTTTTCTCTATAAAGGCTGAGAGAGGGGAGTGAGTGAGCAGCAGCAGAGTAGGGAACAAAGGGCCTTACCTTGGCAGACTTCACAAGCCTTTAACACGTGATAAAGAATACAAAAAAAAAAAAAAACCCCCCTCCTCGCCATTACCCACACTCTCCCCAAAAGCAGCTGCTACTGCTAGCAGCATTAGCAAAGCACTTTGCATGCGTGTATTAAAAGAGGCAGGATTCTTCTTCATTCTCCTTCTTCTTCATCATCATCATCTTCTTCTTCCCCATTCTCAATCCATTTCTCCTCCCAACAACGAAACTGAAGCAAAGCCCCCAAGCTTTACTTTCCTTCACTGTAACCCACTTCCATATATCTCTCAAGCAGCCAGCCGGAGTGTGGTGTTGTGATCTTTGGTGAGTGTGTAGTATTGGGTTTGATTGTATTTATTGTTCTTGCTGCAGTGTTGGCCCCAATTCAATTTATTTATTTGGCTTGCTCTCTTTTTCGGCTGATCTCGCAGCAGAGCAATAAATTCGGGTTTGGGATATGGGGATAGTGATTTCACTCAACTCACTCACTGGCCCTTTTCAAAGTTTATTCCTTTTTCTTCTTCTCCTCTTCCCTCCTCCTCCTTTGCATAACACCTTCTTGTTCTTTTTGGCCTTTTCTATGTGTAGTCTTGTGGGTTTCCAAATCTCTCTGTTGATGGAATAACAAGAATTTAATGTTTTGGAATGCCGGGTTGCTGCTGTCTGTGTTTGCTTCTTCCTTCCTTTCCATCCCTTCAATATATGCCCTGCTTCTGGCCTTTTCTGCTTGTTAGATTTCTATTCTTTCTTCCTGCACTTTTGTGGGTTGTAGGGGGTAGAGGGGGGAGAACTTACTGGAGAAGGGTCTACTTTTCCGTCCATTTCTTCGGTTTCTCCACCAAGTGTTTGCAATAATCCTCTGAGAGAGAAAAATTAGTTTGAAAGCTTCTCCCTTTGTTTGCTTCCTTTTGGCTCTCCTCCTTCCCTCATGCAACTGTGATTTGCGCAAAATGGAACCCTCTAAATGCCTCGGGGATACTCATGGAGGGTATTTCACTATTCCTTCTTCTTCTTCTTCTTGCTCTTCTTATTCTTCCTGGTTCTGGTTTTGGGGTTTCGTGTTCTCTCCATTTCCCCCCTTCAGCTCGAGAAAAGAATGAGCACCACTAGATTCATTCAAAGCATGGGAACCCAATTTTAAAACTACTAGTTTCTAGTCACTCCCCCCCACACCACTACCACAAAAGTAAAAAAAATGTCTAAATACTTGATTATTTTATATCTTCAGCCTTCAGTACTGTTCATGTAATGGAGAGCACTGTTCTTATTCAATTACCCATTTCCAAGTTCCATCTGTATCTGTGGGTGGGCGTCCATCCAAATCATGAACAGTCAGCTACAAGAACTGTAACTCTCCGCTTCTGGGTTATCCAATCTCTTCTCAAAATGCTTTGTGTGTCCAAAAACTTTGGTGAATCTGTCTGGGTCTCCTGTCACAAATCTTACATGAGGAACAGTGAAAAATGTTCAAATGCAAATGTCTTTGTCCAACTTTTGTTTGCGTATTCCAGCTAGCACTACTCATTTGCTATATTTGCCTTTCATTTTGGCAAGCATGCAATTTTTTCCCCCTTCCCTCACTTCTTTTTTGTTTCCTGCCCTTTGGTTGTAGTTTGGGAAGCAAATGTGCGAATGCTAGAAGAGCAGAGTAGCTTTCTTGGTGTCTGGTGAACGTGAAAAACAACCTTGGAAGTGTTAAGAGTGGTTTTGTTATAAAGCTACACAAGAATGCCAATAGGACAGATGAAAGAGAGCTCGGAGCAGCACTTAGTGATCAAGCCTCAGTTTCAGAACGTTGCAAACAGGCCTGCAAAAAACCGCAAGACTGCTCAGAATGGGAAAGGGCCACCATCTCAATCCCAGGAAACCCATAATGCTGCTGCTACTACCAAGCCCCAGAATGAGAGCTCAAGCTCGCCTCCTGCTGCCGGGAAGAACAGAGGGAGAAGGAGAAGCAGAGGTGGCCGGAAATCTGATCAAGCTGAGGCCTTTATGAGGCCAAGCTCAAGGCCATGTACTGTGGCTCACAAGCCTGCCAATGGAAGAGGCGACGATGATGATGGTGTTGGTGGGTCCCTTCCAAATGGGTCAATTGAAAACTGTGGAGCTATGGTAACGGGTCAGCCGCAGCAGCTGGGTTTTCCCACCTCTAGCAAGTCTTTGAACTTTGCTCAAAGGCCTGGCTTTGGTCAGCTTGGGACAAAGTGTGTTGTCAAGGCAAATCACTTCTTTGCAGAGTTACCAAACAAGGACTTAAATCAGTATGATGTAAGAATCTCTATTTCCCCCCCACTTTCCTTTTCCTTTTCTCTTCCTTGGTTTTGTTGAGGTTGTTTGATGCGATGACCATCGCTGTACTGACTGGGTTTTTTTTTTTTTTTTACATCATTATGATTTTGGATTTTTCTCTTTGGGAGGGAATGAGGGGGCTTAAGATTTGATTTGGGATTTGGGTTGCATGAATTGGGGGCCCTTAAGAATCTGACACTGAGCATGCATATGATGTTCTTTCTTCTTTTAATCGTTCTCTTCAATGGTCTCTCTCAGCATACTCATGAAATTTTACATGGGTTTCTTTCCTCCTTTCTCTGTTATTTTTTTTTTACTTTGTTTTATTGGAAACTTTTTTCCAGTTGGGTTTCTCATTTTGTGGGTGAAACTAGATGTCACTTGCAAAATAGGACATGCTGAAGCTGTTATTTGAGGTTTCCTCTTCCTCCTTTTGCTGTTTGATGGACAAAAGTTTAATGAATGCTCTGTCTCCAGCTCTACTGTATTTTTTCTTCTGGTTCTTACTGGGCATTTATGAGTCTCAGTTACTAGTAATTATTATTGTTCTTATTGTTTGTTTCCCCTTTAAATCCATCTGTCTGCCCCCCTACTCTGGCTCTCTTTGGCAGGTTACTATTACTCCTGAGGTGGCATCAAGAACCATTAATAGAGCTATAATGGCAGAGCTAGTGAGGCTCCACAGAGACTCTGATCTAGGAATGAGACTTCCTGCTTATGATGGCAGAAAGAGTCTTTACACAGCTGGTCAGCTTCCCTTTGCTTGGAAGGAGTTCACCATTAAGCTTATTGATGATGAGGATGGTGTAAATGGTCCCAAGTAAGCAAAAATCCATTCTCCCCCTTCTCTTGATCAATATTTTTTACTGTGTTTGAGGAGATAAGAAATGCAGTGTAGTAAAATATTTGGCCCAATGGATATGAATTTCGTTTCAACTATGGTAATCTGTAATTGCTTAACTTAATTCTGATGAATATTGAATCCATACACAATTGTCTTAGGAGGGAAAGAGAATACAAAGTGGCCATTAAGTTTGTTGCAAGGGCTAACATGTACCACTTGGGTCAATTTCTGGCTGGTAAACGTGCTGATGCTCCCCAGGAAGCTCTCCAAATTCTTGACATTGTATTGAGAGAACTCTCCTCGAAAAGGTAAAACATTACATCCTCATCTTTAGGCATGATTATCAGTTTGTCAATTAGCGATAAGACTAACTTTGCTTGCATTTTGAGAAGGTATTGTCCCATAGGTAGATCCTTCTTTTCACCTGATATTAGAGCGCCTCAAAGACTGGGTGAGGGTCTGGAGTCATGGTGCGGATTCTACCAGAGCATAAGGCCTACTCAAATGGGCCTCTCACTGAATATTGGTATAGTAGATTAATGTTTGACAAATATTTGGAAACCAGAATTTCGTTAGAGGTTTCCTTGATGATGATCTATCTTTTTCTGTTTGAAAATAGATATGGCTTCTGCTGCATTTATCGAGCCCCTTCCTGTGGTGGAGTACGTAGCTCAGCTTCTTGGTAAAGATGTGTTGTCGAGGCCATTGTCTGATTCTGACCGTGTGAAGGTACTCTCTTTTCCTCCCTCTGGTGCATAATAGCACTGATATCATGATATGGGTGGTTCTAGTTTCCTTTTTATCTGTACTTAAATTTGGATTCTTCTGCTACACTATGAGGGAGCAGATTAAAAAGGCTCTTAGAGGGGTAAAAGTTGAAGTTACTCACCGAGGGAACGTTCGACGTAAATATCGCGTCTCAGGACTAACAGCTCAACCCACAAGAGAGCTAGTGTGAGTTCCCTTTCTCTTGTTGCTTGTTTGTATACACTGAGGAAGTTGAGGAAATTAGTGGATTTCCTAGTTGCTCAAGTGGCTGTTACTTTGTATGTTCAGGTTTCCTGTAGATGACAACTCAACCATGAAATCGGTTGTTGAGTACTTCCAAGAGATGTATGGCTTCACCATCCAACATACACACCTTCCATGTCTTCAAGTGGGGAACCAGAAGAAGGCAAACTATCTACCTATGGAGGTAGCATGATTAGAAAGAGATGCGTTTGAACTGTTCTTTTCAGGTTTTGGTTTTCAAATGCTTTGAAAGTACTCCTGAATGGAACTGTTTGTTTTTGTACTCTATAGGCATGCAAGATTGTTGAGGGGCAGAGGTACACGAAAAGGTTAAATGACAAACAAATTACCGCCCTGCTAAAAGTTACTTGTCAAAGGCCTAGGGATCGAGAAAATGACATCTTGCAGGTAAGAATGTGGAACTTCTGATGTGTTTTTTTATTTGTCTTTGTCCTTTTCAAACAGTTAACAACAGTGTTTCTGAAAGTCCAAATGTGGGTTTTTGTCCTGTGTTATTGTACACATGCAGACAGTTCAGCATAATGCATATGATCAAGACCCTTATGCAAAAGAGTTTGGACTTAAAATAAGTGAAAAGCTAGCATCCGTCGAGGCTCGAATCCTCCCTGCCCCTTGGGTAAATTCTTCTTACATCTCATTACCTGTTTTCAGGTTTCTACGTTGAAGTGAAATCACCTTCATTAACCCATATAATATTCACTCTTATTTTGCAGCTGAAATATCACGACACGGGGAAGGAAAAAGACTGTTTGCCTCAGGTTGGTCAATGGAACATGATGAACAAGGTATAAACCTTTCACATTTTTTTTTTGCCAGAGTCTATGAGCTTGATTAATGTCTAATGCCTCTATTTATTATCTCTGACCTCTGTTGCATGTTGTCATATGCAGAAAATGATTAATGGAATGAATGTGAAACGATGGGCTTGCATTAATTTCTCAAGGAGTGTACAAGAAAATGTTGCACGTGGATTTTGCAATGAACTTGCTCAAATGTGCCAAGTTTCTGGCATGGTATGGTAGTTCCTTCACCACCTGCACTTCTTGACAATTGATAACAGAATGCAATACTGCAGAGGTGGAAGACATTTTAATGTCCGCCTCTTTGTTATTTTTTTGGCAGGAATTCAATCCAGACCCTGTAATCCCTATCTACAATGCCAGGCCCGAGCAAGTAGAAAAAGCTTTGAAGCATGTCTTTAATGCATCGATGAACAAGACCAAGGGGAAAGAACTGGAACTACTATTAGCTATTCTACCAGACAACAACGGTACCTTATATGGTATGAAAGTTTGAACCCTGCGAGTCCGTAATATGTCCATGCATTTAGTTCCTGTGCTGTCAAGTATATGAACTAGAAGTGTCATCTTCCCTTCTTTCTTCAATGTGACTTTTTAACTGAGGTGACAAGTATATGAACTAGAAGTGACTCAATGTGGCTTTTTTTAGGTGACCTCAAGAGAATATGTGAAACTGATCTTGGTTTAATCTCGCAATGCTGCCTCACGAAGCATGTATTCAAGATCAGCAAGCAGTACTTGGCTAATGTGTCCTTAAAGATCAATGTCAAGGTTTGGAGCAACTTTTTTTTAACCCTCTTCTTATATCCTCAAGTACTCTCTGAAATCTTTGGAAACGCCATTATGAGTCTCTGCCAACTTAGATAGTAGTTTTGTACTTTCTGATTCATCTATATATGTATCGTAATCCGTTTGTTGCAGATGGGTGGAAGGAACACTGTGCTGTTAGATGCTATCAGCTGCAGAATACCATTAGTGAGCGATATACCAACCATAATATTTGGTGCAGATGTGACTCATCCGGAGAATGGGGAAGATTCAAGCCCCTCCATTGCAGCTGTAAACTTCTAAAATAACCCTTTGGTTCTTATTTGAGCATGTTTCTCTGTGGTTCTTGAGATTGGGTGTGCTCATCCTTTTCTCGTATGTTGTCGTTGTACAGGTGGTAGCTTCACAGGACTGGCCCGAGGTGACCAAATATGCTGGATTAGTTTGTGCTCAAGCTCACAGGCAAGAACTCATACAAGATCTATACAAAACGTGGCAAGATCCTGTTCGGGGTACTGTTAGTGGCGGCATGATCAGGTCTGGTTGTCGTCTCTTTAACTCCAGCTAGAATATTTCTTGTGAAGTACCTAAATTTAGCTTGAGTCTAAAAATTTCATTTCTGTTTCCTACCTTGCAGGGATCTTCTGATTTCCTTCAGGAAGGCAACAGGACAGAAGCCATTGCGAATAATATTCTACAGGTCAGTATTTCTTGTGGTGCAAGGTATAGTGTTCATGCAACAATGCAGCTTGGTACTCTTTGCTAATACGGTTCTGCAATGGGATTTTTCATGCCACCTTGAGCAGAGATGGAGTTAGTGAAGGTCAATTTTATCAGGTCTTGCTCTACGAGCTGGATGCAATTCGCAAGGTAAGAATTGGAGATATGCTATGTTTCAGGTTTTTCTTTGTAGTCACGCTGAAGAAGCCAGCCCATAATAGACCGAAAAATCTTCTCTCTTTGCAGGCTTGTGCTTCTCTGGAACCAAACTATCAACCTCCAGTGACTTTCATTGTAGTACAGAAGCGTCACCACACTCGATTATTCGCCAATAACCATAGGGACAGGAGTAGTACAGACAAAAGTGGCAACATATTGCCTGGTAAAATCCTTGGATAGCCATTCTCTTATTTACCTTCTCCACTAACCATGTTAATGTATTTCTTGTGATGTATATTCTCTACTGATGTTTTTTATATTATTTTTCATATTTCAGGCACGGTGGTTGATACCAAGATCTGCCACCCAAGCGAATTCGACTTCTATCTTTGTAGTCATGCTGGAATCCAGGTAAACTACAATAAGATAATAATTAAGCTTTTCTGGTTCTGACATTTAAAAACTTGAAATATCATTGGTAGTATGTTGTGTTAAATGGGTGAAAATGCTTTTATACTGTTTGTCTTGGCCAGGGGACAAGCAGGCCAGCTCACTACCATGTTCTATGGGATGAAAACAACTTCACAGCAGATGGAATCCAGTCCTTAACAAACAATCTTTGTTACACTTATGCTAGATGCACCCGTTCCGTCTCAGTTGGTGAGTAGCGAATTGGTACCAGCAGGAGAAGCTAGATTTCAATCACATTGTTCATTCAAACTACTCCTTCCTTTCAAACGTAACAGTTACAGATTTTGATGGATCGATTGGTTGATCAGTTGGTCGTGTCTTATTTTGTAGTTCCGCCGGCATATTATGCTCATTTGGCAGCCTTCCGAGCGCGGTTCTATACAGAACCACAGATGCAAGAGAATGGATCATCAACCGGCAGCAAGGACACACGGCTGTCAGGAGAAGCCGGTGTGCGACCGTTACCAGCCTTGAAGGAGAATGTGAAGAGGGTTATGTTCTACTGTTGATTGCAACGAGAAATGCAAGACTCGCTAGTGGCATTACTCCGACCTCAAGGATGTCAGTTGGAGGGAGCAGAAGCTGCTGCAAACAGCAAAGAAAGCCAAAGCAGAAAAGCAACCAACTTCCCTTGTAAATGTGTTAACAATGGATTGGATATCCTAGCTAGCTTAGAGTTTCTGCAGGATTTTCCCCACTTCAGGCCATGGGTGAATACTGAATAGAGAAGAAGCAGAAGGAAATTGACCCAACAGCTAGACATTTTAGAGGAAGATAAGCGTAGTGGCTTGCTCTTCAGACTAGACCAACCCCAAGTTACGTGTATTTACTATTTCCCCTTTTGCTTCAGGCCCCAGGGGAAAATGCAGCTCTCATAGTTTAGTGTCGTTAGTAGTAGTGTTACGTTTAAAACTGTCTTGGCTTGTAAAGTTACCTTTTCTAGAATGTCTCTGTCCCGTTGGTTTTTCATTTTTTGGCTAGTGTTTCGTGAGATTACATCAAAACTGAGATTGACTGTAACCAAGCACCGGTATCCGTTGCACATAAGCTTGATGAATTCACTTCAGGGTTAAGTTTAAGTATCAACATTGAGATGCCAGCCAGTTTCAAGGATTGAAAAATTACGGTGGCTGTATCGGGAAAGTTAGCGATAGGGAATTTTATGCTGAAACTGTGGGTTAAGTGTTCTTTAATCGTTTTATATTTGCTAAAACGGTATGGTTTTCAATACTTGCTATTTTTTCGGTTTGATTTATAAGGTCGCGAAAACCAGTTTCCCTCGGGCGTTCTCTCACGACGGAGTTTAGCTTTTCTGTCTCCCCGTTGATTTTGCGGTATACATTTGTGCGATCGGGGGATTTTGGCTCCTGGCTCGCCATGGCTCGTCATCGGCACCGGACTCGCATGAATACTAGAGTCTTGGTTAATTTCGCCAAGCTTAGTGATCGTTTGAAGGCTCTGTACTCTCATTGGAATGGCAACAAAGATGAATTGTGGGCATCTGCGGACGCCATTGTCGTAGAGACTCCGCCGCCTTCGGAGACCAGCCGATCCCTAATGTCTTCCGCTTTTAGCATTTGGTTCTTTGGGTACGAGCTCCCTGGAATTGTGATGGTGTTCATGAAGAAACAGATTCATCTGTTGTGCAGCAAGAAGAAGTCCGGCTCTTTTGAGCTTCTGAGAAAAGCTGCCAAGTATGCTGTTGGGGTCGAAGTGCTGATTCATGTATGGAATAAGAAGAGCGGTGATAATGGCGACGGGTCAGTTATCATGAACTCTATTTTTCCTCCTGTGTATCATAATATGGGTCCCTCCATTGTTGGCCATATTGCAGCAGAGGCTGGTGAAGGGGATAGGGTTCTGGAGAAGTGGAGTGAGAAATTGGGGATTGAGGGTTTTCGAGCTGCTGATGTATCAGCTGGATTGGGTGATTTGTTTGTTGTTAAGGAAGAAGGCGAGCTTGTCTGTGTTAAGAGGGCGGCTTATTTGTCTGCGAAAGTGATGAACAATGTTGTAGTTCCCAAGCTTCAGAAGGTCATTGATCACAATGAGAAGAAGAAAGATGTAAATAGGACGGTTCTAGATGAGATTGAGGAGGCCATATTGCAGCCTTCTGTTAAAGCCGGCGTGATGCTCAAGTCTCGAAATGTTGATGCTTGCTGCCATCCATATTTTCAGAGCTACCGCGCGAATGATGAGTTGACGCACTATGATTCTGGTGACGTGATAAAATGTTCGGTTGGATCCCGGTACAAGGGTTACTGCTCGTATGTGGCTAGGTCTTTCTTGGTTGATCCTAATCCTTGTCAGACTAGAGCTTATGAGGTCATTCTCAAGGCACAAGAAGCTGTCATTGCTGCCTTGAGACCTGGCAGCCGAGTTGGTGCAGCATATGTGGCAGCTTCTTCCTTAATTGGTTTGGAGGCTCCTTATTTGGTCAAGCACTTGACAAAATCTGTTGGGACAGGGATTGGTCTGGAATTTCAGGAATCAGTGCTGGATCTGAATGGAACGAATGATCGGTTGGTGAAAGCTGGGATGGTTTTCAACGTCTGTCTTGGTCTCGAAAATCTGAAAGGAGCAGGTCAGAACAGCTTCTCATTGCTGCTTGCTGATACGGTTGTTGTTTGTGCTGAAGGGGCCGCAGTGGTAACCCAATCATGTTCTAATGCTGTTCAAGATGTAACTTATACACTAAGTGAAGATAGCGACCATGACAATAGAGGAGGAGGGGGAGAAAAGGAGGAGGAGAAGGAGTCGTCTCTGATCATGCCTGAGAAGGAATCGAATTGGAGGCAACATCTAGCTGAGGCTCTGGCTCCTAGGAAGGCTGTGTCTCCTCCTAAGAAATTGAAGCTGCTGAGCAGGCCACTGAGATCGCCTGGTCTTTGGATTTGCCACCCTCATTTTGGTGGGGTTGGAATTGGAAGGAAGCGGGCTGGAGCTCTAGAAGCTCATGCCAATGGTTTTCGTTACGTCGATCAATGGCCAGAAAATACAGATGCTAATAGAGATGATATCAGAGATGGTAGCTCAGATGATAGCTCATATGGTAGTACAGATGATACTACAGATGATGATACAGATGATGACGCAGATGATGATGCTAATACAGGTGAGGAGGAGGAGGAGGAGGAGGAGGAGGAGGAGGAGGAGGAGGAGGAAAAGGAGGAGGAGGAGGAGGGAGGATTTCCTGATATTATGTTTGCCAACATCAAACTTGCCTTCTACTACCATACAAAATCACCGTATGGGCTAATGATGCACTTCTGTCTCTACAACCAGATAGAGGTTGGTAATAAAATGACCACGGATATTCAGTTCTACGTTGAAGCGGTTGATGAGAAGCGAGTGTTTCGTGGAGAAGAGGACGGGAAAGCACCAAGGGGCCCCAAATATTTACGGGAATGGATGAAATTTGTGAGGTATGTGAATGCGTCATGCATGGGAATTGAGATTGAGGTGCTCGATCCTTCTCTTTGCATTGAAGGGATGCTGCAAGGGAGTGAGTCTCCGTCAGTCTTCAAGGTAGCTGGGTTTAACCTTGTCGAGATGACTTCGCTGCCATTCCTGGTTGTCAAATGTGAAGATATTAAGATGATGAAATTCGAACGGTTTGATGTGGAGGAGAAACAGCAGAAGGATTTTGATGTGGTGATTGTGTTAAAGGGCTTGAACAAAGACGAGTTGCGAATCGAGTCGATCTCTTACACTTCACTCGATGTCGTCAAGGAGTTACTAAGTGTGCATAATGTTAGGGTGAACTTGGGTGAGCACAACAAACTGAAGACAAATGCTTATGATTACGACAGTGATTGGTGGGGTTTGAACTTGGTTTGGCAGGAGGAGGAGGAGATGCTGGAGAGGCTGGACATGTGGGGGATGAAAGCAAGGGATGCTAATGAAGTGACAAAGAAGATCATGAAAGAGAAGGAGATGGAATCAAGCGATGATGAGAGCGAGAGGAAACTAAGTCTGCTTTTGTTTGGAGAGGAGGCGAGGAGCTCACGATTGGGGAGAGCCAAGGATTATGGGAACGATCAAGCGACCTCTTCCCTCCCTCCGTCAAAGCGGTTAAAGGTCGGTGGGGATGAAGGTGGATTAGAGCAAATGTGACTTGGAATTTGTGTCACACTTCTATGGCGTTGTGGGGATGTTTGTGTTATGGAAAAAACGTTTCACAAAAGTATGTTTCTTGCCACACAAGTCATATATAGAAATCGACACATGCATAAACAACGCCCGAACTAATAGAATTCAGTATTTCTCCTTAAGGAATTTAGTTCCCCTCTACGGTACTCAAGGTTATTGGAACTATTCCTTCCAGGATAGAACGGACGTACCTTTTCTGGCGTACCGGTACTTGAAACACCAGAACCTGATCAACGCAACGATCGGAGAGAAGTCACACGACTATGTTTTCTTTATGAGTTTGTAGAGAGGAAATGCAATGAAGAATGAAAAATTCTTTATCTTTTGGCCAGAAAAATTTCTTGGGAAAATAACATGTGTAGAAAACAGAGGGGGTAGGTGTTTATTTATAGACAATGAAGGAGTGCGAGTGAAGGGATGTGACCCTTCAAGTGGGTGGTTACACCCCAACCATTGCAACGGTTCGTCATAGTAGTTGGACCGGTTGGTTCATTCCAACCGCCACATCGGTTCGGTCCGATTCGGTTCAACTTGGTTTAACCAATAACTCACCAACTATTGGCTTCTTCCCCTTTCATTCTCATTCACACCTTTCAAATCCCAACAGTTTGTTGATTCTGTTTGCTCCCTGAGATCTTAGTCTCCTGCCGAAGCACTTAGATGTTACTTATGACTGGTAGTAGGAGTGCGGTTTATGTTTTGAGTAGAGCATAGCAGTAGTTGGGTAACAGAAATCTATATAAACCTTCATATATATGCATATATGTGTTGTTCTCATGTCTTGGCTATTGGTTTGGATGCCTTTTGCCATGTAATGTGCTACTAGTTTTTTGGCCCACGCTTCGCAGCGATAAGAAACCAATTATTTATAATTTCATCTACTTATTTAATAATTTAGTTCAAATCAAATAATTCATAAAACTGTTGTGGCATGATACATAAATAAGTTTCAGGTTTTTGTCTTTATCATTAAGAAAGAGATACATCATACGTTAACATAAGAAATAAATATCTCTCCATAAGTTTGACTTAGTGTCTTAATAATTACAAATGACTAATATGTTTGCTTAATTGATACATAAGAAATAATTATCCTTCCATTAGCTTTACATGGTGTCTTAATCATTATGTAAGACTCATGTATTACGTCTGTTTAATTGACATAAAAGATATAACTATCCTCTGTAATATTTACTTAAAGTATTTGTAATTTACGTAATTATTTTTGGATAATGGTGAAATATGTGAATTTTTTTAGTTAGGTTGATTTACGTAACTGTTATAGAATGTTATTACACGTATCTTCAATAATGTGTGGTCTGATAATAAAATTAGAAAGTATCACATTTGATTAAAATGCTATATAAAAATTTACAAAATCTTAGAGTAGTGCAAATAACAAAGAGCTCGTAGAGAAGTGCAAATAACTATCCTCTATAACATTTACACAATGTGTTTGTAATTTACATAACGGTTTTTGGATAATGATGACATATGTTGATTTTTATAGTTATGTAAATTTACACAATGTGTTTGTAATTTACATAACGGTTTTTGGATAAGGATGACATATGTTAATTTTTATAGTTAGGTTGATTTACCTAACTGTTATAGAATGTTACTAGTTTTTTACCCGCCCGTTGGGCAGTGTATTTTGTTTGGTTGTTTTATAATTCATTATAGTATTTTAATTGTTATTATTATTTATGTTTGGTTGTTTACATGGAATTGTAAATCCCACTTACCTTATTTCAGGTATTATTTCAAACTTGTATACCTTTTGTTTATTTATGAACATTTTAATTTTATTAAATGAGCTCTTTGTAGACGGTTCTTTATTGATTTAGATTTTTTTTTATCGAACTCGCCCTTTAAGATTATAAACATAAGAGATTATTCATTCTTTAGCACAGAATTGTGATAAAGAAGTTAACAAACTTAAAGCCACAAAAGAAGAAGTTAGAATAAGAAAATATGCTTCAATTAATAAAAAAAATAAGCGAAGAGCTTTTTATTTTCTCTCCCTTCTCATATGT